TATATATATATATATATACACACACACACACACACACACACACATATATATTTTCATTTTAGTGACAGCAGGGGAAATAAGGCATCACCAAAGAGGTGAAATGATATTTGCCCCCAACATAATCCTTGGCCTATGCACAATGGGCTGGCAGCTCAGACATTGGGGGGAGGGGGAGAAGAGAAGGGGGAGGGAAGAAGAAGTGTGTGTACAAGCTAGGAAGGGCAAAATGTTTTCTTGTACTAAACTATTGTCCACTGTTGCCTTTCTGATAATAGAAATATTTTTTTGTGGAATTATAAAGCAAAAAATCATGTGCAGCCTGGCTGGGGTATCTCAGTGGTTGAGGATAGACCTATGAACCAGGAAGTTGAGGTTTGATTTCCCATAGGGGCACATGCCCAGGTTGCGGGCTCAGTAGGGGACATGCAGTGTACAGCCAATCATGATTTTTTTCTCATCATTGATGTGTCTCTCCCTCTCCCTTCCTCTCTGTATTCAATAAAAATAAAAAGTCATGTGTAAACCAACTCTATGGAGTGTACATATATGTATGTGAATAACTTTAGATACCTGTTTTTATAACATTGAGACAATTCAGAAGTTTCAAAGGCTTTTTTAAACATTATAGCACCATTTCATTAAACATTTTTACCACCATGTATTTAAATATTTTTAGAATATGACTTTATTAATATTTTGAAAATATGGATGTACTATCCTATATAATAAAACCCTAATATGCAAATCAACTGAATGGAGGAACAACTGGTCACTATGATGTGCACTGACCACCAGGGGGCAGACGCTCAACGCAGGAGCTGCCCCCTGGTGGTCAGTGTGCTCCCACAAGGGAGCCTGGCTGGCGAGCACAGCAGCGGTGGTGGGAGCCTCTGCCACCTTCACGGCAGTGCTAAGGACCCCTCAGGGGATGTCTGATTGCTGGCTTAGGCCAACTCCCCGCCGGCAGTTGGACATCCCCCAAGGGGTCCTGGACTGAGAGAGGACGCAGGCCAAAATGGTTAAAATGGCAAAATGTTTTAATTTTTTACAATAACACACACACACACCCTGGGAATCAAATTTTAAAATTTTACAAAAGGAGTGCTTCATTGGCTTTTGGGGCATTTAGTGTTGACGTGATTCAGAACTGTAACCAACAATGCATTTAGTCTTTTGCTTATAGGTTTTAGTTTTCAAAATATATAACTGAGAAAACTGTTACTATGATTTTTATAAAAGACTAAGTATAACTTTAAAGTTGTATTTTTCGTTTATTTTAGGCTGCTGGTCTTGGGCGTATGAAACCAAACACACTTGTCCTTGGATTTAAGAAAGATTGGTTGCAAGCAGATATGAGGGAAGTGGATATGTATATAAATGTATTCCAGTAAGTATCCTTTTAATTCAATAACTTGGTTCAGAAAATGTTAATTTTGAAAGCTTGCACTGATTTTTGAAGCCTGTTTTTCATAATAGTCTCTAGTAGAAGCATAAGAATGAAAAGAATCACACACTTATCTGGGTTTTGAATTGATCTATTAATGAAACATTTTGACTGATCTTTTCTTTGTCTTTTTATAGACATGAACATTCATACACATACAGGGTGTCCCAAAAAAACGTACACACACAATTTGAATAATTATAAAGGCAGTGTTTATTTTTTATTTTTTTAAATTTCTTTATTGGTTAAGGTATTACAAATGTGTCCTCATCCCCCCATTAACCCCCAACCTCCCCACTCCCCACTT